GATTCAAGTGATTCAGGAGTTTCCATGAGCAATCCAGGATGATTATTTCTAAACTCTTAACGGCCTTGATTCTTTTGCCATGAGTACTTTTGCCTCAGATTCAGAATGTAAAGCTTGAAAAAGAGCTCTGGAATGAGAAAACCCCCAAACATTTAAACTGCTGGCCTTGATTCTTTTGTCATGAGTACTTTTGCCTCAGATTCAGAACGTAAAGCTTGAAAAACAGCTCCGGAATGAGAAAACCCCCAAACATTTAAACTGCAAAACACATTTGGCCAGGAAAAATGGATATTCTTCCTAATTCAACTTTGGACAGGTACCTCAAAGTTGGATCTAACTGCTTTTTTTTTTTTTTAAATGGCTAGAAGAATAGTTTAAGTCCTATTACTGGATGCTGTGTAGCTTGTTGTTGCCACTTTTCCTGGTAACTACACTCAGCTTAAATGGATAGAAGAATAGTTTAAGCCCTATTACTGGATGCTGTGTAGCTTCTTGTTGCCACTTTTCCTGGTAACTACACTCAGATTACTTCCTTCAATACCCAGAAACACACTTCCATCACTACTTTGTTTTGTATAACAACCACTAAGCAACACAAACCAGGCATAAATGCAGCAGGTCAAGGCTTTACTAGTAGGGAGGTGACTGTTTCCCTGTGCTTGGCCCTGATGAGGACACATCTTGAGTATTGTGCCCAAAACTGAGCACCTCAAAACAAGAGAGATACTGAGGTGCTGGAGCAAGTGCAGAGGAGGGCAACAAAGCTGGTGAAGGGCCTGGAGAACAAATCTTATGAGGAACGATTGAGGGAGCTGGGTCTGTTCAGTTTGACAAAGAGGAGGCTCAAAGAAAGACTGAAGGAGCTGGGCCTGTTTAGTTTGAAGAAGAGGAGGCTGAGGGGAGACCTCCTTGCTACCTACAACTACCTGAAAGGTAGAGAGGTTGGTGCTGGTCTGTTCTCACAGGTAATTAGCGACACAACAAGACAGAACAGGTTCAAACTGCAAAAGGGTAGGCATAGACTGGACACTGGGAAAAATGTTTTCACAGAAAGAGTAATCAGACATTGGAATAGGCTGCCCAGGGAAGTGGTTGAGTCACCATCCCTGGATGTGTTTAAATGTCATTTAGATGTGGAGTTGGGGGATATGGTTTAGGGGTGAGCTTTGTAGAGTAGCGTTAATGGTTGGACTCGATGATACCAAGGGTCTTTTCCAACCTGAATGATTCTATGATTAGTCAACTACATGATCCAAGCATATAATTTTAATTATTAAGGTTGGAAGAGACCTCTGAGATCATCAAGGCGAACCATCAACCCAACACTACCATGACCACTAAACCATGTCCCGAATTACCATAGAATCATAGAATGGCCTAGGCTGGAAGGGACCTTAGAGATCATCTAGTCCAACCTCCCTGCTGTGGGAATGGACGCCACCTCTCGACTAGACCAGGCAACACATGGGGACAGAATTGCCATGTCTTCATATTTTTTGAACCTTCAGGGATGGTGACTCCACCACTTCCCTGCGCAGCCTGTTCCAGCGCTTCACTACTCTTTCAGTAAAGACATTTTTCCTAATATCCAATCTAAACCTCCCCTGGCACAATTAGAGACTATTTCCTCCATCCTATCAGTAGTAACCTGAGAGAAGAGACCAACACCCACCTCACTACAACCTACTTTCAGGTATTTGTAGAGAGCAATGAGGTCTCCCCGCAGCCTCCTCTTCTCCAGACTAAAAAATCCCAGTTCCGTCAGCTGTTCCTCCTAAGACACGTTTGCCATATCCCTCACCTTTCCTTTTGGGAAAGGAAAGAGGAAATAGATACTAGTTGTTATTTGCGAATGTTATAGCCTGTTCTATCTATGCATTTCCATATGTACACATGCACAAGCCTTACAGCAATCACATCTTTTTCCAAAGCATCCTTTTTGAGGAATATTTCCTACTGATGGGTGAGGAGAGAAGGCTAATAATGCAAAAATGAAACATTAGTTTTACCATTCTATAAGACTTTGTTAAATACAGAGTAAAGGACAGAGGCCTAATGGATGCACATAACTCTTAAATACTTTGAAGCGGTATTCATGCAAGCTTTTGTTTGCATAACTGTTTGCTGCTAACTAGTCAGAATCTTCATTCATGATTTTGCTCTTTGCTCTGTAGTTACATCCTTCTCTCAAGTAGTACCACCTGCTCTTTCAACACTGATGATGCTGTATCTCACACAGACATCTTCGACTTCAAAGATTTCTACAGGCATCTTGGCACTGTAATGGTTAACTACATAACTCACGCATGACACACTCTAGTCCCAGTGATTTATCAGCACTGATAAAAATGCTGCTGAGTAATTCAGGAGGTATTCCTTCCTCCCCAAACCCCATAGCTTTTTCTTCCTCAAGCCTCAATAACCTCCATACAACTAGAGAGAGACCATTTGACCCCAGCAGATCTACCTAAAAAGTCTAGCGTTTTTTGAAAAGATGAGCTTTCAGAAATTCAAATTAAATGGATAAAAGTATTTTGACAATTTATCTGAAACCTAAGCCAGTAGAAGTGTCTGTTTAAACACTTTTAACACAAATGCATTTAAAAACATTTGATACAATAATCCAGATGCACAGGTAGGGACTTGACTTACCCAGCTTTTTAGATCCAGTGTCTTTTCTTCAACACAAAAATTCAACAGTATTATACTTTCTTAGCCCTTAGTTTCCCAAAGAAGCCAGTAAGAATGTTCTCCATTGCCACCACGTAAGATTACATTTGTAGACACAGGGCCGCAGATTTCTTCTGCTTAAAATTTAATCTAATTTTAGCTGTATTACCTCAAATGTTGTTCTTCCTGTTTAGTTTCTACATCCTCAGGAAGTCACAAAACTCTTAACTTCTTTCCAGTCCTGAAGTCAAGTGCTGAAGGCTATCTAGATTTGCCTCCATTTTGCATACTTCCTCTTCTTTGCTCAAACATTACCCATTGCACATGATTTCTTTCCTCGTTCCCTTCTGTTTTTTTTTTTTTTTTGATACTGAACAGTCCAGAATGAGCATTAAAATGAAAATGGTCTCTTTTGCCCATAAAGCGTTATCTCTCACGTACCATGCCTACTCTTTCTCCTCAATTATTTTTGCTGGCTCAAAGATTAAGATTTTTGCTCCTTCAACTATAACTATTCTAGATCGTGCCACCTCTTCTGTGCTGACTGAGAATACCATTTAAGGAATGCATGTGATTGTCATTAAAAAGGATTATAACCTAAAGCTTTTCCATCAGAATTAGAAAATTAGTACATGCACACAACCACTCACTTGTGTCATCATCAGGAGAGGATTTTCTCTGAACTTTTGTGACAAAGCTCATTTTCCTCCTGATAATCAGAGGTGCATTAGGTACTGGACAACTCATTCACTAGCACGAATTTTTTGACACAGAGAGAGATGCTGATGTTAGAATCTAGTACTAAAAAATTAGAATTAAATCAGTGGAAAATGTTTGTTACTCTTACTGTAACTTTTCAAAAACTACTAAATATTTCAAAACTAGAAGTCTTTAGCACTAAAAGAATACCTCATCAGCTGTCTACCAATTTACATGTAGAACAATTTTTGAAAAGAGTAAGGGCAGATTACATAGTATGTAGAGCTGAACGAAGTTATGCTATTTTAAGAAAGGTTAGTAAGTGGGGATCTATGAACTGAGTACGGGCCTGAAAGCCATGTGAAGCCATCTTTCAGCTTTACATAGCACTAAGATTTCATCTGGAGCACTCTGTCCACCACTGTACCGTGTCTGGCTGGGATGGATCTAATTTTCTTTACAGCAGCCTGTATGGTGCTGTGTTTTGGATTTGTGACTAAATCGGTGTTGATAACGCAACAGTGTTTTAGTTACTGCTGAGCAGCACGTACACACGGTCAAGGTCTTCTGTTTCTTACTCCGCCCCTCGCAGTGATTAGGCTTACAGAAGGCAAAATTGGGGTGGGAGTGGCAGGGCATATACAGCCAGGACAGTGGGGCAGAACTGGCCTAAGGGATATTTCATATTATATGACATCATGCTCAACAACAACAAAAACAAAGGAGAGTCTTTCCCAAGTAGCTGTTGCTCAGAGACTGGCTGGGAATCAATTTGGTTGTGGAAAGTTGTGAGTGACTGCCTTTCGATCACTCCTTCCCCCACATCTTTCCTGCATTTATTAAACTTTCTCTCAAACCCTGAGTTCTTCCTCATTTTTGCTCTTCTAGTTCCTTCCTCCATCCCACTGGACAGAGGGAATAAGAGAGCAACTGGATGGGCACTTCCTTGCTGGCTGGGGTCAACCCTTCAAGAAAGGCATGCAGTAAGTCAACTCGAGATATTTAAGACTTGACATATGTTCATAAATATGAACTATAAGCAAAACTTCAAAAGACTTAAGTTCCTTAAAGCAGCAAAGACTGAGAAACTTATTCAAATACATAACAGACTACAGCAACCAAGACAACGACCTCTTGAGCAGCTCTGCAGAGGACAGAAAAAGAAACTGTGTGCATGAACAGCAGCAAAGAAGATTCCTACTAGGTACTGGAGGGGAAAAATGACAACAATACAAATAGCAAAGCACTGCAATAGATTTCTCTGAAGAGCTTGTGAAGATAGGAAGGTTAGATTGATATCTACTAAGGATACCAATAGCTTGGCTTAGCTTGGCTTGCTTTGGACTAGCAAATCAATTCTAGTCTTATTTTTAGATTTCAGTGCAGACAGAAGTACCCATTTCTCTGATCAGATATTTAAAACAAATAAAGAAGTATATAAATACTAGAGTCTCAACAATATAATTAGTGGTATGCAATCAGTTACACAGACATTGTCTTTTTCCTATGTTAAAAATCATAGTTAATTCAAGTTAAGAAATCCAAGCCCTAGAGGAATATTATCTGTACAAATAACAAAGTGCAATTCAAAACAACTGTTTTACTAAAATATGAGTGTTCAGCAAAGTTACCTCCTCTACATTGGAAGCAGTTTTGGCAGATGTCTCCATAAAGATAAGTCCATGCTCTCGTGCAAATGCTTCACCTTCTTCTTTCTTGACTTCTCGTCTAGATTCTAAATCACTAAGATGGAAAACCAAACAAAAAAGTTACCTGCATGTTCTAACCTGTCCCTGTAAATGTTATTCTTTAGAGATATCCTTACAAACCAAAAGCCCCCATTAGAATTTACGCACACATGAATATCTATTCAAGCCCTTACATAAAGCAGAATTACTGTAAGCACTGCACTTGCAGTACGTGGAATAGCCACACACATCATGCTTGATCTATCAATCTTAGCCGACATAGATCTCACCGAAGACTTCATAAAATGGCCTTCAACAGGATGTGTGTATATCTAGCTATTCCCTGAACGCTAACTTTAGACGTTGTCATTTTAAAGAAATATCACTCTCTTCTAGTGTAACATTATCTACCAATCCACACTGTAAAGTCGAACTGATAAAGGAATTTTATAAGTGATTTCTTAACAATATAGACACATATAAAGTGAATTTCTTCTAGTCAGTAACAAAATCTCATACAGTCAATTTCTGTTCTGATAAAAAGACTTAAAAGCAAGACTAAGTTATTTTGAACTACATTAGCTGTTCTCTCTAAACAAGTTAGCTGCAGCAAAGTTTGACATGACTGCTAAACAATTTCTTGTTTCCTGGTTTCCAAACAGTTTAAATGAAAGTTAAGTATTACACAAAACCACAGGAAAAAAAAAACAAAACCAAAAACCACCGCCTCTTGAATTGGACAACTAAAGACAAATCTGCTTCTGTAAGTCATATAGACATCGAAGTATTCCACTCTTACTTTTCAAAGTTTCTTTAGGTACAAGCAGTACACAGTTTGTCCTTCTTTGTAATCATACTACATCTAGAGCAATAACAATACTACATTTATCCAGATACAGTAAATAACACAAAAAATTTCATTTAAGTTATGCATGTAAAAATATCTTCTCAGATATACATTTTTAAAGTAAACAGCACGCAAATACAGAGGTTAAATATACAGTCAGAATACCAGTAAAAAGTATTATACTTGGCTTCAGTGCTGACATCCTTGTGATTATACATATATTAAAAATGAACAATACTCACTGTGGCACCTATTATCCAGCAAAGCAAGTTTTCATTATTTTTAAACTACCTACTAGTTCAGACGAATTACAGTGTCAGGACAATTCAGCACTTTATTTAAACACGGCGCATTTGAAGACAGAAATACAAGAAATGTCTTCTCAAAATAATTTTAAAGTTGATGTTCATTATATGTAAACGTTCCCAATATCTTAGCCTTAGACTCAAGATACCATAACAAGGTTTTCATGCTCATGTCCCTGAAGCAGCTACCTGAACGTGGTATTTTTGAACTTGACCAACGTCTTTATTTGCTACTACCATGCTACCCTCTTATTTAAAACCTTGATTCACTACAGTGTTATTGCCATGACAGATCAGAAATAACCAACTCTTCTGACCTGAAATAGTGCAGCTGCACTGAAAACTATAGTGATAACCCACACAAAACTCACTACTGATATCTAAACATATTCTTAAAAAGCTTTAACTGCTCCTACTAACCACAGTTGTATTCCTCTCTCCGTGCCAATAATTCAAAGCATTTGGTCTTACTAAATCAATATGTTTGGTTCTGGAAAGGGGATTAAGTACAGTATTTGTCATGTTTTACCACTAGTATTTGTAATGTTTTCAAAAAACTGCTACTATATTTCAAATTAAATTCTCAACACTTCAAATTCAGCAGTCAGTAGTACAAATGTATACCAAGTGCACTCTGGGGACTCGTAAGAACAAAATGTACATCTTCAAGTATATTATGGTAGTATATATGTTTTTCCTTCCATCCACCTCTAGTAGCACATCCTACCATAAGAACTCCTGTAACACGCTTTCAGGATAATGCAACAGAATTGAACGTATTTTCTTCCCACCCTCCTCTTCTGAGGCTTGAATAATAATCCCCTTTAAAAAGCTTCTTAAAGAACTTTCACTTTATGTGGCACCTTAATCTGTAATTTAAAATACATAATTTATATACATAATACATAATTAGTTGTAACTGGGAATTACTGAGCTAGCTGCAAGTAGCATGTTATAACATACGGTCATGGAGTACGGTCTGCATCAGCAGAACACTAGACCTAAGAGTTCAGTCAACAGGTAAGAATACTCACGAGTAGCTACAGATGTCAACTAAGTATGCAAATTTCTCTAATACTTATCTCTAGTAAACAGTACATTTCACTGTTTCTCTCAGTGCATAAGCATAAAATGGTCAGGGACATCTCAGGCTTACTAAGGCTTCATTTAATAAAAGAGATTTCATTCTTACATTAATTTGTGAGGACTATGTTTATCATATTCCTCAATTAAAAAGAACATCATTAATAATTTTTCAGATTAGGTATAAAAATGTGGACGAGCTTCACAATTACTTAACGCTTACCATGTTTTTCAGTGGGACGTAGAGGGTGGGGAGAAGAGGAAGGAAAATAGAAGGCAGAAGAAGCGGGAAGAAGAAGAAAATAAGAGGTGAAGAGGCCAGAGCAGCAAACTCAAGCTCTCTTTACAACAAGGCTGCTTCTCAGTAGTATGTAAGAAATGATCTGGCTGTTCATTAAATTTTAAGGCCAAGCACACACACCATTACTTCCACTGGCATCTTTACCTTCAAGAACTGCTGAGGCATGGAGGCAAGTCAAGGTCATAGAATGGCTTAGGTTGGAAGGGAGCTTCAAGATCATCTAGTCAATTAGGTAATCTAAGGTCAATCAGCTAATGGCCCATAACTAATGGGTTATTAAATCCTGAGATAATGCTTCTGATATTTCAAAAAAACTTACATCTACCAAAAAAAAATAAAAATCAAACCGGATGCTACACAGGTGACTGGATCAAGAACTAGGAAAATTACAGATAATGTATTCACTGATCTGTTTTTATAAGGACTTTCAACACAAATCAAAGTCTCAGCATCAACAGGGAATCATTTTAGAACTTCGAACAGTCTAGGTAATGAGCAAATAAATAATCATTTTCAAATTGGGTAACACTTTCAAAACTTGTAGTTGTATTTTCATCACCCAGTTTCTAAAAGAACCTTGAATTCACCAGGAAATGGTGAAAAAGCATTCTCTATATTGAAGCCCAGCTAAAACATACGGCATACTAAATAGGTTTAGATTTGAGAAAAGTTTTTGAAGTGAATTCTGTAGTATGGGCTTTTTTTTAATTACATTTTTCTCTGTTGTGATTCTTAACAAAAACTACGGTGCTTTAGATAACCTAGAATTATAAGTCATATTCTCTTTATAAGGCAGAGATCTAGGTGCTTCTAAATGGTAATTCCAGATGTAAAAAAAAGTAACAACAAAAATACCTCCATGATTGCATTTACAGTCAATCATTTTAAAATAAAATTACTTCTGATAAAGGGACCTGGAACATAAAGTAGTTGATCCATATGTGCTGCCCATTGTATTGGTCTCATTAGAAAAAGAAAGGTATTAGGTTCACCACAGAACTGTCCAATGACTGAACGTAACTTAAAGTTAACGTACTGTGTACAAATACGAAAACACAAAAACTGAATTCCAGAAGTCTTAAATCTTCACCACTTACAAAATCATAACTGGTTAAATTTTACCTTTTATTTCCAATAAGCATTATAACCATGTTGGAATTGGAATGCTGACGAGCATCTTCTAGCCAGGTTGTCAAGTGGTTGAAAGTGTCCCTCCTAAGTACGGAAGAAAATGAAAATTAAAAGTAGCATTAAAAAAAAAATAACCATCTTTTCCTGTTCTGTTAATCAGCTTCTCTACTTGAGCAACCAACCAACTCATTTATTAGTACACATGCTCCAGGGATAACAGCTAGTAATCCCTTTGTGAGAGGGAGAATAGGCAACCAAAAATTTAGTAAACAAGGAGCATTAATGAACTCTGCCTAAAAAGTAATTGAAAACATGTTTGCTACAAGCAGTAAAGAGAATACTTATAGCTGTAAGAATTTGTAATTTTATATACATATAAAATCCGTTGAATGGAATTTTAAAAGTCCCCATCAGCCTCAACCAACTCAAACAACAGTACAAATGGTCACGTATTCATATAATACTATTTGTTCAACTGAAGGCAGAAAAAGGTTGACAATTTTCTGTGAATTTATAAACTGAGTAACAAATTTAGCAACAAACTCTTTTAAAGTAAGGTACACAAATGTGGCATGTTACAGAATTTATAGAATGTGTACACAAATCTTAAATGCACTTTACAAGAATGTGATTTAAGATTTCACAAGAATAAAACTATCTATTTATGAATCAAAGATTTATTTGCTGGAAATCCAATGGAAGGAATACATTGCTTCCTGATACTTAAACAGGGAACAAAAGGAAAAATGTCTAGGAAATCTCTAGTAGAAGTTGTTGCTTAATTCAGCAACGAGACCCAAGAACCACAAAAGCAGCCACGTGTTAACAGGACTTTGGAGCCTGAACAGTTTCATAAATGAGGCACAGTACCCACAGATAACAAGTTGTATAGAGACTTTATTCAATACAGCAAGAAAATCTTGATCACTTCTGAACAGCTGCTGAAAAATAAATAAATAATTCACACTAAGACCTGTATTTTCCCAACCTCATAAACACAGCAATGGTAGAAGTTTCTTGGTATTTTTATGTAACCAAAGCTTTGATGTTTTACCATTTCACTCCTTTGCAGAATGGCACTTCAGTAAAAAATGTGCTGTAATTAAAGGCAGGTTATAGCTCATGGTAATAAAAATACTAGAGAGTGATTAATGAAATATTTTAAGGTCTTTCTCAGTAAAGGTTCATAATTAAATAGTTTATAAAAATACTTTGTTTCATGCTTCCTGAGGCTTTATGTATACTTTTTCTCAACCTCTTCACAGAAAAAATTGAAAATACATGGGTTACATTGGCCCTATCTTGATTTTGAGCACTTAAGTTGACAAAACATTAGATTACAAACGTCTATACAAAAAGTCAAACTAAATTTGACATTTTAACACTGCTATATACCATAGCGCAAGTCTACAAAGACACATAATTTTACTCTAGTTATACCTCCTCCATATTCTCACCTTGTAATGTCATACACTAGTAAAGCCCCTGCTGCCCCTCTGTAGTACGACCTCGTAATGGAACGGAAGGACTCCTGCCCTGCCTGTAGAAGAGAAAGTTTCATTACTTCACATCTCAAATTTATTTTTTTGTGTGCTGAAAAGCACAAACGTAATCACAGAACCATAGAATTCTGCTTTTGAGAGGACAGGGACAAGGAGTATGGAGGGAAAATCAGAGAGGAACATTGCAGACAAAGTCTCTATCTAGCACTAGCAAGAGGAGGCACATAAGGAGAAGACACCAACTACAGCACAGGGCTGGTTGGGGGGGGAAATCGGAACAAGACCTCTAAACCTTTTTTGGCAATCCCTGACAACCCAATTTACTGAATGGCTTCACAATACATGAATCATTATTAGAGCACAGAATGGACTCCTAGCAACTAAGCTCTGAAGACAAATTTGAAAGGAAGCAAATAACCCAGAGCTTCACATTTGAATTCAATAACCCGCTCCCTGGGGCAGCTGTTGACACTAGAATAAATAAAGCCCATTGTAAATAAATGATGAATGACATCTTTACGCCCACCATCTGCTGGTGTAAAGGTTGTTGGAAGGCCAAGGATGCAGATTTTATCCGTTATATCATAAACTGCAGCCAGCTTTCAACAGTCTTCAGATGGAATTCTTTCAGTAATCATTTTATTATGAAAAACAGAAAATGGTTCTGAATTCAATTTTACACAATTCTGCTCCACAGTTAATCAACTTCCTCTATACTTGATAAATAACGCTTGTCAAACAGCTACAGGATGCAAGAGTCATCTTCATATGCACTAGTGGAAAAACTTCAGAGATCGTACATAAATTAGATAGTTCTCATGGAGAAGTGTTCTGTAAAAATTTCAGCACCTAAAAAAACAGCCCTGAAAAATAAATATTCATGGTTGCAGACCCCAAGCTCATGTTTTTCAAAACTGCCATCTAGCACCTGACAGTTGTTAGAAGAAGCATTTACTTCCAATGTTTAGGAATAACAGAAGTTTAGCATAATTCAAAGATGTCACAGAACATAATTAAGAGATACTAGCACTAAAGCTGAAAAAAACCCTACCTGCAGTAAGACAGCTACATGCAGAACTATAGGAAGTAACCCTGATTTAAAACCATGAAAAGCAAGAATGAAATATTTACCAAATACAAGCTATCCTTCAGCCCTATCTATGAAATTAGTGTATAGAAAACTCTTCTCAGTTACTTTTCTTAATATAAGGTCTTTGTGAATGCAGAGAGAACTTGATCTGGATTCTGTCATGGAGCAAGAACAGCAACATGACAAGTTTCAACATTTTCAGTCCTCAGCATCTTCCAGTATGATCATCTACGTCACTTTAAAAAACATCTTCTCTGAGCCATTCCAGTAGAAAAAGTTACAAGAGACAGACAATATAACATACTTAACAGTTTCAACTGCCTAGAATACACCAGCACATGCACTTGGCCAAGAGTCCAAGTGCACTTTTAGGAAAGCTAAGGTAATAGAATAGACATTCTGCTAGAATACACCAAGGAACAGTAAACCCCCATTTTTTTTACTGTGATACTTGGATCCCTACCTGGAAGATCCACTAAGCTCTACAACTCTTTCCTGGTGTGATGACTAGCTCAAATACATGGTAAATGCATAAACCATTTTACTCCTAACTAGATAACATGCAAGTTATTGTTACCAGTGTATTTATTACATGTATTGCCCAAAAATCATAATGAAATAGACTTAGTGTACCACCTTAAGATTGCCTGTTTCATATTCCTAAATTCCACCCTGACACACGAAATTGTTCATCTCCCTGAGTAAATTAATCATGGCCAACCATGACTGTTAGAGGTTTTAACAGATCTTACAAGAATGCAAGAACTGTGAGTTCTTACAACTATCACTTACTTACAGAAGTTCAGTTAAATCCTGAAAATATTGTTATCATTTTTAACCGTGTCTCACTTCACATGCTGAAGTTAAGTATCATTGCTTCCTGAAAGAAAAGCTAGGGAAAGGGTGGAAAACATCACCCCTTCTTCATCAAAGATACAATCTTCCACATAGCAATAATGAATTTGTTCTTACATACACCAACAGACAGTGCAAACTGAAATTCTCTTTTGCTCTAACAGAAAACTGTGAAGTTGTATATATATATTTATATTATACATAAAATATTAAGAAATACCTTATATATATATAATTTACAGTCTATTTTAACAGTATCACTCTGAATGACAGATTTAGAAGGTCCATATAGCAGGGTTAGACATGTAGAATATACTCCACAGCTTTTTTTCAGTATCGTTATTACTTCAAGCATTTTTCATCCAACCATTTGCCCTCTGCCTGCACTTCCTTCTTTCCCCAAGGATAAGGTATTTCAAAGAAGACAAAAACAAACAAAAAAGTGTATGTTATTAGCTAAAACTGACTTTAAAATTAAATACAAGTGTGTTATAATTGTGTTTTATCAGTCTTGCAAAGTAGGACCAATCCAAGATTAGCTACTTTCTATAAGGAGCAGCAGATAGAAGCATCAGTAAGGAAACTCAATATAAACTAAACCCAGGTTTATATCAGAGCAAAGTTCTTTATCTCAAGTGGATCTCGCCATCCCTTCCATGTTCCCCCAAAATCCAGCACTTGCTTTTCTTTTTTTCCCCTCTTCAGTATTAATAAGCTTGTTTCATAGACTCACACATTAGTGGAAACAGAACCACAGAGGTGGAAGGGACCTTGGGAGGTCACCGTCACCTGTGTCAACCCCTCCGGCTCAAGCAGGGCAACCCAGAACAAGTTGTCCAGGTCTGTGTCTAGATGGGGGCTTTGAAGATCTCCAAGGATGGAGACTTCACAATTTCTCTGGACAACCTGCGCCTGCACTCAGCATCAGGGGGACAGCACGGGGGATAGCAGTAGCCGCTAAAATAAACATTAAACAAGGTATTTCCCAAGGCCATATTACAGCTAGTAGAGACAACCCAAGTCTTTGCTCCAAGGCAGCCCCTGATTATGCTCACTTTCAGAGTTACACTGCAGTGCAAGTGAGAAAACGAAAGATCTTTCTGGTAACAGACCATGACAGCTAGTTCCCATGTAGAAACTCTAGCTCAGACAAAGTTGCCTACAAGAACCAATAAATGCATACTGAACGGGCCTGAACATGCATCCGCTCCCTTTAGAGACAAAGGTGCTAGCTCTGATATCAGCAGTTGACTAATCCTGAAAAAATGTGATAAAAAAGTAATGCTTTAAGTGCTAAGTAATACTCTTTCCAACTATTTTCCAGACTATAGTTTTTATTAATCGTATCACATTGGTTAACAAACTTTTTGACAGAGGAGACTTATGTAATCATAGTTCTAGGAGTTAAAAATCTTCAGAGCACTGCAAAAATCATTCCTAGTTGAACTGCAGAACTGCATGGACATATATCCCATGCAATTCTCTAAACATACTGGTACAGAGAGCAAAACACAATTTCAAACTAGCAATGTAAGCTGAACATCGAGCACGATCGACCACCTTAGGTCACTAAGATACAGGAATTTCAGGCCTGTACTGAAGTTTTCAGGAATATTTAAGCTATGTAACTGTGTTACCACTGACAGGGTATCTGCGGCATGCTTGAGAAAATATTCCAGGCGTTACTGTTCCTGTAGGAAATCCCAGTGTCATTTTGAAGTGTGAGGTGTAGTCACGTAGGTGTCAGCTGCAAAATGTGCAGGCAAGTCTCTGCCATCAAAAAGTGTTCCTTGCAAGTTCCTTAACTGCCTATTTTTTTAATCTATAAACTAATGGAAAAAAATAAAAAGAAGAGCCATGGTGCAGTACAAGAAAGCAGTCAGGTAATGAAATAGGATCCACACCAGCACATCTCCCTAGAAAACACTGTGTTTTACTAAATTCTCTACTCTCTCTGCTGAAGAACTTGGAAAGTTTCTTCAAGGACAAAGTTATCCAAGTATATCTCAGCAGGCATTCAACATCCAACAGTTTTTATTAGGAGGAAACTTACAGTCCACAGCTACACAAAAAAATGAAACTACAATGCACCACAGCTAGTAGCTCTGGACTCCTTCAATTTTAAGAGGGGCATACATGTGGGGTGTGTTCAATCCTGGTGACAGAACACTTCATTCACATTGGGAATTGTTACTTACTTACACTTGTTTACACTTTTGTAAGCTGTACAGAAAACTAAAAAAAGACATGTAAGAAATAACCAGCTCACACAAGTGTCATGCTACCTATGACAACTGCCAGCTGGGAATTACTCCACAAAGTTGATCCCCGGAACAAAATGTTCCAGAATGAGAGAGGTGCAATACATACCTTTGAATATAGTTCTGAAAGTTATAAATAAATTAACAGCCTTTTCGTCACATGGCAACTTGTTTATACAAACACATTAATCTTTCTTGCAATCACATCTCTGTTCCAAAATAAAAATAATTTTAAGGTGATTTACTAGCACATAGTACAAAGAACAGGCACAAAAGTAATATAAAAATTAAAAAAACCCCAACCCTGCTGCTTTCTAGCAAAGACATTCCCGAACAAGAAAAGAACTAAAGATGCTTATGAAGAAGAAATCTGTAACAATTTAAGAAAGCATCAGAATTTATGTGGAAGATTCAACCAAGTGACATGTTGCTTCAGAATAACCCTTTCAGCGTCCTAATAAGAACTGAAATTTCAAGAGGACTAAAGATCCACAAGGGTGAAACTATACATACTTCTAAATAGAGATCATTTGCACAGCCTTCATTACTGAATGCACCCAATTTAGATATGGAAAGCAATTCCCAACTCATCAGAGAAGGAGAAAACTTTAGCCCTCCATTATTAGAAATATCCTTGCGATTTATCTCAGATTATAAATATATTTGAAACTTTCAGGTTTTATCTACCCAACCTCACTAAAATAGGAGTTCCATTACTGACAAAAGTGATTTGTCCTCCTTCCAAGGCCTTATCCCAAGCAAGAGCTTGTGGCAGAAAGCCACAGATAAACTCACTTTCCCATGACTGAGAAACACACTGAAAAAAAAAAAAGTCGATGATTTCACTAACTGCCCATGGACAGAAAAAAGCTCTGGCTAGTAAAGCAAGCAGAAAATACCACGAATCAAACAATACTAAAGAACTCTCAGTGGTGAGTGCTATGTACTACCTAATTGTTAATATCACTGAGATGAAATAACTATTTATTTAATGTATTAAGGGAACTTAATTTGGTTCTATTAGATCCAAAGCATTTGCAAATACACTTGAATTTCCAAGAAGGATTAGCATATCTAGAGCATCTGAATGTGTACAAACAAACCACACCGTGGTCAGAGGGAAAAGAGACATGCCTTCAACAGTTTTATCTTCCACTTTGCACGAACATGCACTTTTGTGCAAGCTGTCAACTACTAGAAAAAATCATCACTTTAATCAGAAAGCTCACTTGTACAGCAACCAAGAAATTACTTGAAATTAGCTGAGAAAAAAGAAAGATGATTTCAGATACTTAGTCTCAGTCTAAGGTATTATAAAACATAGTAATAAATAAAAATGTTTATCACAGATTTCCATTAAATGAAGCAGAAATAGATATTAAAGACATTGTATTTAAATACATGGGAAAAATTCTTATCCATATCAATTTAATTTAGAGAACATAAGTAGTATTACTTGGTATCATCACTGATCACCCCCTGCAGCGTCTGAGAGAACTTAAATTTTCCCCTTTCAACAATTTATCTTTCTCATCAACAATGACTTGTTAGTAACAGTCAATGCAATACAAAAGAGCCCCCTCAACAACAAAAATGAAGGCTACTGACTCAGCCTGGTAACAAGCCCAATATTTCTCTACAACAATGAAGTTTTTCTGATGAGAAGCAGTTTTAAAATTTCTCAGTGTTCCACTGCAACAAGACAACCAATCTCATCTACACAGCTTGTTTAAAGTCACAAAGCTTAATGGCTCCCAGGACTTCTAGTTCCCTGAAAGTTATTTTTGCAACCAACACTAGCCCAAATATCACATTTCCACAAAAGAGCAGCTAAACTTCTCCCTGTAAGCAATTAACAACTAACCAGTTTTGACAAAAAAGGTATTTCTCAGCCTATCCAACTACTGAAAAGTCATTACTGAGATTAAAGATACAGGAAACTATCTAGAGACTAAGGACAGACAGGACAGATGAACAATTTGGTCCAATACCTGCCCTCCCCTTGGCCTAAATGCATCCAAAAGGAAAAGTGAAACCCAAGGACTCCCAGACCTAAAAATCTGGGTGCGCCACAGCACACAGAGCAGCAAGCTTGCAGAGCCCAGCAGAGGGGAGATGAGGAGCAGCCTGCAGCTGGGAGAGAACAGGACAGGCCGTTTGCTTGTGTAGACATATGCTCAACACTAGAGCCGAGACTGCAACACCAAACACAAACTACACAATATCTTTTGTGGAGCGTGGGGGTTTGGGTTTCAGATGGGCAGGGAAGGGGTGTTGTGTGTTTGGGGGGATTTTTTGGGTGTGAGTGTTGTGTGCGGTTCTGTGTCAGACTAGTTTTACTAGACTGTCAGCTCACAAGACCAAATACTGGACTATAGTTCCTATCTAATGGGCATCCGTGCTTTCCTCGAGCATTAGTTACCTTTCAGTTCAGCCTCATCCAAAAGGAATTCAGTTTGCATAATCCCATATGAAAACCAGACTGCAGGAAGCAGAGCTAGCTTCTGTAACACACTCCTGATCCAAACCAAGATGCTAATGAAAAAGTCAAATATTCTGGATTCAGGATACAAGAGCACACAAAAGGATCTCAGACATGGAACAGCATTAGCTTCACCTGTGCTGTAAGTTACGACACACTTGTGCAGTGAGGTATGCTGCAGCCTCCATACACCCCCAGTATTAAGCTCCTTTCCTTGGAGCTGCAGTGAGCTGCTGAAGACTACACAAACTGAGCACCATTGCACAGAAATATCTAGCCAGAAAAATCTGAAATAAAGTGTTTGATCTTCTTAAGAAAACAGTCCTTATTCACTGTTAAGGAGTCAAAACAAATTTTATCTAGTTCTCCACTTACATCTCAACATGCTTCCTGTTAAGTGATGGATTAGAAACAGGTATGTAAAGCGAGCAATAAATCAGAGAAGTGGTGGTGCTGCAACTCAGTAAGCACGAATTGAAAACAAATACTTCACTGGTTTCCTTAGCCATAGGTGTAAAATAAACTTTCTCTTATCAAATAGAAATTGTTACAGCTTAATAAATATGGAAATAACACCAGTAACAGCCAGCAGATTTTGCGTTCAACACAGATACACAATACAGGCATGGTCACCTTGGTCATTATGGAACACATCTTTGTGTACCTTAACACTCAAAAGTAAAATATATCTTGAGAATTACCTTATCATATTTCTTGTTTTGCTATTCCTTCAACATCTTTGCATGCAAGATCAGAACTGAGACAGTGGAATTTAGATACGCTTACAAGCCAAGATTTGATTAGAGTAGAAATATTCTGTGTTTTAAAAGTCTGTTAAAATTTTAACTATTGCTAAAATACTAAGTCTGTCACTGCTTACAACTTATAAATTAACTACAACACAAGCATACAATCATCTGTGTCTGAAAGCTTTCAATCAGTATTTTAAATTTATGTATGATACACATAAGAAGCTATCTAGACAAAATCCTCACTCAAGAAAAGTTTAAAAGTTACAATAAAAAGCAATTCCATTGAAATTCTGGCTATCAGACACTTGCATGTATACAGGAAGCTAAACCGACTACAAATAGTAACTGAGTCAAAGAACAAAAAAAAACACAATCTACTCAATCTACTACAGAACAGTTGAAGATCACTTGTATCAAAGGAGCAGATAATAATAAAATTAGCAATTTTGTCTACAGAGAATCTACTTACGTTTTAGGAAACAAGGACCAACGTACAGATGTTCTTATGTAGACACACTATGTACTAAAAGTTTGCTTCTGAAGCTACTGTTTATGCAGAGATTTACTTGTCTATTGAACTTAAAAACGATGAGACACCTTGGTAGTCAGTAATCCACGGTTACAATAGTAAAAATGCCCAGGGCAGAAAAAGCCTAAAGTAAGCACAATCTGACCTTACTGTTCTATACCTTTTCATGGAGAACTTCCAAGGAGGCACAGGTGTTAGATGCCATTTTGAGTGATGAATTCGTAAAACACTAAGGTACTGCAGATTTTGAGGTCATATACACATGCCTACATAAGTATAAACGTATATAAAAAAATGTAAACAAATGCAATATTTTTAGCTAACTTGGTAGGTATCTCCCTTCATTGATCTGCATATCAAAACCAGTACATACAGTAGGCTATGACTCATATATCTGTCAGTTTCTAAAGGTATCCTAAAATGCTTTTGGAAAAGCCTTAGGGAGCAGTTAAGCACCTTTGAAAGACACGGTTATCAGTATGAGCATCTTAAAGCTGTTGCATCACAAGTACAGACACTGAGGCTGACTGCTCTATGGTAGAGCGACTGACAAGAAGAAAAAAGCTGACTGCATTAATGCATGTTCTTAACCTGAGGCCTCCTAAAAGTCAAAGTTTGATTTTTGGTAGGCTTTTCAAACTTTTAACGGGCCCTTCCTGATTGTCTGAAGTATTTACTGTCTTCATGATTACAGTAAACTTAAGTTCTTAAGTTATCTTCTATTAAAAAAAAAAAAAGTGAGACATATCTTTTCTTCCTCATTAGAAATGCAAACATTTGCTCTGGAGAATTTTGATTAAAGCTAGTAGACACATTGTAATTTTCAAATAAGATGTTATATTAATCAGCCCTTGCATGAAGACACAGAGAAAGACTATTTCAAGAAATTTAAGTTCTTAGTGATATAGAAAAATTTCACAAAAAAAGTGAGGCAGCATGAATTTCAGTCTTACAAGTCTGACAGTGCTACTTGAAGAAGTTACAGTGCAAACTGCAGACATTTACACTGTTTCAAGAAAACATCACACACAAAGGAAGGAAATTTTAGCAATTCTTTAATCTTTATGGAAATCAAAGAAAGCTGCAAGACAAAAGCACATAGATTGACATAGGTGCTGATGACAGTTTAACCAGATCACAGGGAAAGCCAGTGGAACCACACATTTAAATAATTGCTGTGATTTATTACTTACCGTATCCCATATCTGAAGCTTTATCTGTTTTCCATCAATAGTTATCATTCGAGCCCCAAATTCTACACCTGAAGAGATTTTACAAAAGATTACATTATTAGTATAGATCAGAAAGAAGAATGACAAGTACTATGAAAGCAAGAGTTAACATTGTATTTGTAGGAAATAATCTCTTTCACAATCTACTTTTAGTTAATTTTCTAGCTACTTCCAAGAACTGGAAAGTTTTCCAGAGGAAAGAAAACTATTACTTTCCAAGTGCTTTAAAAATGGGTTAAGTAGAGCAAGCCTCACGGAGGTATTTCCTAGTTTTCCAAATGGCTTAGTAGCTCAGGGTCAGAGGGAGAAAAACATGTGCATCTGAATACAAACAGGAAATTGAAGAGTCACAGTTATTTTAACACTCTACCAACCACAGATTGCTAAAGCCAGTTTAGAAGGAATTAAATCTGTAATTCTTTATCAATAAAATATTCTATTAAGTGAGCATACAAATGTCACCTTCAACAAAACAAATTTTATTAATGTATTAAAACTAGTCTGCCTTTATTAAAAAATAGTGCTTCCATAATTCTAGCTAGTTAAAGATCAAATTTAATAACCAAGGGAAAAAAATTAATGTGTTTCAAATAAACAAAAGAAATTTCTTCAATGGAAAGTATCAGCCTTTTGTACTGTCTTTCTAAGCATTAACAGTAAATTAAGCATGGACTGATGCTATTAGTATAGCAGTTAAACATGTAACAAATGTCAAGAGATAGTGGACATATTTAAAGGCTATAAAGTTTCCATTGATCTATGTTTCATATAGCCATTATTTAAGAAAAAAAAAGCAAGATCTAGTAGCTTAAGTTTTGTCTAAAATTGGTCACTGTCTAGATTTGAACCAAGGTCTTCCACTTCAGCAGTCCTGATTTAAAGTACCCCAAACTTCCTTTCCAAAGCTTGTTGAGACTATTTGGGGGAAGGTGGGAGAGTGGGAAGCATGGCTTTCTGCAGAAAGACTTTCTGAGAAGGGGAGGCTAGAGAAGAACCACTTCCCCTACCCAGGATATTGGAGCCAAATAAAAGCATCCAAATAACCTGCAGTAACTGTATGCAAACGGATTGAAAGAATGGAGGGGGAGGGCCAGATAAAAGGAAGCAGTGAATGACAAGGCTTTCTCTTAAACTGACTGCAAAGAAAAGGAAACGTCCTTGGACTACTATGAGTATTAACTCTGCAGGTATTACTTGGTCTCAAAATGCAGGTACAGAGCTGCTGACTAAAATCCAGCAGTAGTCCTAAATGTTTAGATTCTACACACAGCCCTGTGAAAAATTAAAAGGATATTTATCGTGTACCATCAAAATACCTACTGAGAGAAAATTCTGATTTTGAAACAGCACATGCAGTTTGAAGGTAGGTTTGTTCTCTTAAAGAAGGAATAGAAGCTGTTCAAGTTTACACTAAGATATGTCCTAAGCGCAATGAGCAAACCAAACAGAATGTTTGCAGTTGTTTCCGTCACCTGTACCTACCACCAGTTACTGTGGGGGTTTTCTTGGTTGGGATTTTGTGTATATGTTTCTTTTTTTATTGTTGTGGGGTTGGGGTTTTTTGGCAGGGGGGACTGTTTTGGGGTTTTTTGCCTCCCAACGTTGCTTCATGCAGCTTCTCCCTCCTTAATTTCTTTTAATAACAGATACTTAAATTTCCAAAGGAAAAATAAACAGAAATAGTTGCTGCATTTTAAGTTCTTTTAGAGTACATTATTACAATTGTGCAAAATTCTGAATGCTCAAAGACAGAAAAATACCTGCTTATACACATTCTATCTTTCCCCACATTTAGTTTTCATTAGTTTCTCTACAAATTTCCTAAATCCTAAAGAGATAATATTTTAGGCTTGCTATACTAAAATTTGGGGCTGAATTTTGCACAACTCCAGATGAAATGTGTTTCTTACACATTTCCCATTTCAGTTTCCCTTCTCCTCTCCTGAGCTGCTCACAGCAGGAACAGAATGTGCACTACCATTGGCTAAAATCATTGCATTATATTGAAAAAAACCTGGCTATGTAACACAAGGCTTTTTATTCAATCTATTGGTTCTTAGGAGTTTCAACATCATCAACTGAAAGTGCATCAAGCAATATCAACCCATCCCACCTTGCCCTGTATGGGCATTCATATGACTGCAAAGCCTTGTTCTTTATTTATGTCTATCTTTTTAAATCTGTTTGGGTAATTGGGAGAACCATTCTCTTAGCCAAAACACACAGAGGCCCTATCAGTAAAATGAAAGGAGGCTGCTTTCAGCCTATGCCCTTTCTTCTGCTTTCCATGCAGCTTCCCATGCACCATTCTTATACCATTCGTAATGTTGCTATCCAGGTTCACTTCCTTATCACAGTAGCCTCAATTTTTGCTCCCAGATTTCAGGTAGCTACGATGCCAGGCAAAGAACTGGCACTACAATCGCCCTGCTGAAGTGAATGCTTCCCACAGCCCGTCAGTCTGCTGATGTGACAGGGCTGCCAAAGGCACAATACATAAGGTGTCATATACTTGGCAGGTCTAAAGAAGAAAAGAGGACAGTAACTCATGCCTACCTAAAGAACTCAAGCCCTTTATTCAGCAAGCCTATCTGCTGCTAAGACCTCAGAAATATTTGAAAATTGCTGTTAGCCTAAGAATTTGAATTATCTTAAAGAGGCAAGCACAAGGTGTGGGAGGACTGTCAAGAAAGAAAGAGAAGCTGTAACCAAACCACTTGATACATTTTGCTACATGAAGAATATTTGTTTATATTGCAAGCATGCATTTCAGCACTCCCAAACACGGGAAGCCTACCTATTCCAGGGCACAAACTAAAAATAGAGACTAGGGATACATTTTGTGCAAGGCTCATAATGATTAGAGCTGTTAGATTCCTTGAAATAACATCAAGTTCAAAGGTTCTGCAATCTTATCAGAGATCAGCATCTGTTACATGCTTAACAGTGAAATCGATCTGAAGACTAAGCTTTATTCCCACACTATACCTCACATTTTGTGCAGAAATATAAATAAAAGTTTGTATCATTTACTGTGGTTAGATTAGAGGTCATGTATTCTGTCAATAAATATTAATTTCCCTCTAGTATCCATATCAGATCATATCTAACAGAAATGGTCCACATTTCTGCAGGAGACAGGAAGAAAAATCCCTGTCCCTTCCAAACAGTGAACACCTTCACACTTCAACCCTTCTCTATCCAGAAGGTAGTTTTCCAAAATAGTAAATTTGTTTATTCAGCTTTAAGGTTAACTTGGCTTTAGTTTATCTGTAACTGGTCTTTTCAAGGTGCTGTGGCTAGGCTAATACTCTTTCCTAGTGAAAATTCTGCCATGTGCACTACCATCAAAGCATTTCAAGCTTGGTCAATTCTGTTTCCATGCTCAGTTTTTTAGTTTTTTTGAAGAGACAGCTGAGATACTATAGCCATGAATTTTTTCAGTTGCTTCAGACTGTACCTTCCCATTGAGAAAAAAAAAAAAAAGACTTCCACTCAGCTTTATTAGCAAGAAATATACATCAGTTAGAGATTCAGTGCTATCATAACACAGCACAAATCCTATGCTACTATAGCACAACAAACTCCTACATGCATGCTGAAGTACCCTAGCTGCTTAACTATTTAGCATTGTGGGGACCAAAAGAGACCTACCAATAGTGAGATCGTGGACTGGTTGAAACCGCTTGTCTGTAAACTGTAACAATAAACATGATTTCCCAACACCTGAAAAAAAAAGGCAGAAAAGAAAGTTTTAAGCACATAAATCAGTTAAAAAATAGAAATTAATTTCAGTAGATGGTATATATTGCTCAAAGTTCCTCACTAGAAATACACTTCAAAGTAGGTGAACTCTAGTATGCAACTTTTTTGTAACATAACAGCTTTCAGAGTTTCAGAAACACTGAAATCAGAGCAGTAATTTTCAGAAATTGAACAAAAAATAGTTCTTCTTTTGAAGTAGTTCTGCCCTTAAAATTAAGGGGAAAGAAGTTTTCTAACAGACCTTCAAAGTATCATTTCACATCCTTTCTCCACAATAACTACACATCTTGATACTCCTCACATCCTTACATCTGCTTCCCTTTCAGTACTTCCAGCTTTCTTGCAATCTAACTAGAATCTCAGTAGCACCCTACTCTGCCCTATCTCCTAACCTATCAGCTCGAGTAGCAGCAGAACATATACAGCTGCTTACAGCCACTACATGCTACTGCACACACTGGTTACCAATAGGCTAAAAAAAATAGTCCAAGCAAGACTGGCAGCAACTGAGTTCAGATTACAGCCAGACAGGCAACAAAAACATTGTGCCCATCAGGACCCCAACTTTTGACCCAAATGAGTTAACTACTGACACTGGTCAGCAAATGGGTAATTTCTTCTGTACACGAAAACACAAAAAAGTAAAAGTTAATGCAGTCGATCAGAAGTACTCAAAATACCTAGGTGTCCTGGTTTGAGCTAAACACAACCAATTCTGTTCAGTGATACTTGCTTCTCAGCTCAGTCTCTTCTTAGAGGCTGCACTTTCTTAAGGCAGCAGCATGTTTTTGCAGACAGTGTGTGCTACTGGCAGTGATAACACCTGATGTTTACAGTTACTGCCTGGGACTGGTATGCAGACAGGCTCCTGGTTATACTTATTCCTGTAGTGACCAAGGCCACTGCTGGCTCTTGTGTGTCACGCTGGGGGTGTTAGGAAGTAAAAAAGGTCACAAGGAAGTAAAAGCTCGCACCTCTGGGGAGTAATAGACAGGACAGGTGACCAACAAGAGTATTCCATTCCATATATGTCATACTCAGTATAAAACTGAGGGACCACAGGGGTTAGGCCTTTTTATTTAATGGCCAGAGTCTGAGGAGGACTCTGATCTGCTTTTGATCACGAGCCTGAGTTCCTGAATCCAGCTCCTGTATCCAGTTCCCCTCTGCCGCTGAGCCTGGGACTTCCCCGGTGCCACCTGCTCTGTATTATCAGCGGGGATTGCTATGGTGGGGGGGGAGTCGGGGTTGGGATTAGATTTGGTTTCATGATTTGTATATATTCATATGTAGTTCATTATTTTTATTATTTCCTTATTATTTCTATTAGTGTTTCATTAAAGCTGTTTTAATTTTGATTTTTAATCCATACTCTCTCTGCCTCATTCCACTTCCTTCCAATTTTGGGGAGGGAGAGAGGGTTAGAGAGCATCTGTCAGTGTCCAGTGGCTGGCCCAGCCCTAACCCTTGTCACTAGGTTTGTAAACATAACACTTTTTACAGTTAATTTTCCCTAGTTCTTTTACCTGGAAGGCTAATTCTTCCTGTTCTGCTCAAGTTTCCTATTTTCAGCCTTTAAAAACTTTACAGTCATACATGTGGTTTACATATATTTAAACTCTGAACTACTGTCACATAATATACAATATCACAGC